GATTTCAACAGCTCAAATTTCTAACAATTGTTACCAGCGGGAAGGAGCTGTCAGTGTGAAAATAAAAAGGACAGACAGGCAGGGCTAGATCGACTCGTCTCGTCATGCTGATCAAGAATATATATACTTTGTGGGGTCCGCCACGCCTTCTTCTGCCTGTTACATTTTCAGCTCCCGCAAACCTAATATACATACTCTTGTACATTTTACGTACAGAGTATAATAATCATAAACCTTTTGGTTTTTCTGAACAATCTGCATCAAAAGTATTTTGCATATCCTATGTAAATAATATTAAATTAGCAAATTACTAAATGTATACTTAACACACCAGCATTCACACATAGCATCCAAAACAACCAAGCAATGGAGATGCCACCTTGGCTCAAAAAGAAAACAAGAGAGAACGCTACAGTCGATCAAGCCCGACAGTAAAATAGCCTGTACTTTCCACAAAAAAAGAAAATTTAAAAAAAAAACTATTTAAAACAAGTAGAAAAGCAAAAGTCGGGTGTCCCGACTTTGAAATACTCTGCACAAGTGTGTAGAATAATTATGTATGTGTGTATTTGTGTGTATGTCTTGTGTGCCTGTGCAAAGCAGTAACAACAACAACAGCTGCGGGCACTGCTTGGTCATATATACATATATGGCTATAACTTCCTGTTAAGTCGGCCTATTACTACGAAACTTAGCATACGGACTTATAATCATCAACTGGAGTTGGACTTTTTAATAACAGAACAAATAGTTTTTTCGGCAAAATAAATTTATTTTATTCAAAATAGTCTCCTTCTGCTTTAATACAGCTTTTTGCACGATCTAAAAGCATGTCAAACGAGTGTTTTAGCACGTTGGCCGGTATGGCCGCCAGTATGCCGGTGCAAGCCTTTTGAATGGTCTCTACGTCTGCATAACGCTTTCCTTTCGATGAGAGCAATTATTGGTCGTTAGTCAATTTGTGCGGAACAAACCGTGCACACACCTTTCGTAAGCCCAAATGTTCGGTCAAAATGCGATAAATCAATGTTTTGGAGATGTTCAATTCCATTTCCATTAATTTCAATGATGATTTCGTCTGATTTTTGATGAATTCACGCACAGTTTTGATGGAATTTTCGGTGATCACGAATTCTGATTGGCCCACATTTGATCGTCATTTATGTCCTCACGACCACTTTGAAAACGTTGAAACCACTCGTGCACTCTGCTACGGGATAAGCAATCATCGCCATAAACTTGTTCTATCAATTGAAACGTTTCGGTAAAAGTTTTACCAATTTTAAAACAAAATTTAATGTTGGCTCTTTGTTCGAAGCTCATTTTCGCACCGATAACACAAACATACTGCCACTTAAAACGCAATAACTTCACTTCCAAACGATGACATGTCATGAAATTCTCACAGTACAATCGATAAAGAAAGCAGATTCTAACCCACCAGTATATATATTCTTGATCAGGATGACAAGCCGAGTCGATATAGCCATGTCCGTCTGTATGAGCGCAAGGATCTCAGAAGGTGCAAGAGCTAGAATGACCAAACTTGGTATCCAGGTTCCACTGAGCCCTAGGCAGGTCAAGTTTGTTTTTTTTTATACCCTGTACCCGTAGGGTAAAAAGGGTATATTACGTTTGTGCAAAGTATGTAACATGCAGGAAGAAGCATCTCCGACCCCACAAAGTATATATATTCTGAATCAGCATGACGAGAGAAATCGATCTAGACATGTCCGTCCGTCTGTCCGCTCGTCCGTCTGTCCGTCTGTATGAAAGCAAGGATCTCAGAAACTATAAAAGCTAGAATAACCAAACTGGCATCCAGATTCTCCTAGGTCCGAGAAAGGACGAGTATATTTTATTTTTTTTAATTTTCCCTTTCTCCCGCTACAGAATTTCGTCAATAGCGTCCACATTTCAAATGCTACCTAACCAAACTTTGCACACATAATTTATATATAATTGTCTACTGTTGTTAAAAATTTTATTCAATTCGGTTAATTCTAATAAAAGTTATTAGCAAAACAAATTGTCGCCAGTACAACCCCCTAAACTGCAGCAACAAGTTCGCTCTTCTTCTTCCTCTTTTTGCTGCTGTTTTGGGCGCATATATGTAACTCAGTGACGGAAGTTTACCTGGACAAGGGAATAGGCAGGGTGGGGCAGAAAAATATAAAGTCGACCACACGTTCATTATTATGACGCACTATTTCGCCTTAAAATGGATCTGCGTTGGATTTGTTAAAGTTTTTTCATTGATCATATGCATAAATTATTTTTTAAATGCATCGTGCATTATTTAATCAAAATTGTAATTTTTTGGCATTTATTATTTCAATTCCAGAAGCCGCTTTCGTTATAGTACGTTTTTTCAATATATTGATTATCATCTTAAAAGTTAAAAAGTTACAATTTTTGCAAAGAGAATAGCGAGCCTTTGGTGCGCAGCTGTGTCGACGTGGATAAAGACCTCCACGTATTTACACATTCAAACATTTATACATGCTTACATTTTCATGTATCTACATACATACATATGTATATGTTGTAAGTATATATGTACGTAGGTAATGTACGTAAAACCGCTTTCTCCGCATTTCACTAGGTGATACACACGGCAACCGCAGCAGAGAAGTGTACATTTATGTACATAAGAATGGATATGAATGTATTTGTCACGAGTTGTTGTTATAATATTGTTAACGGGTTCAACGAACTTTGGAAATGTATAAGAATTCGCAATTCTTAAATATGCATACCTCATACGTTAAGTAAGAGCGTATGGCGCGTAATTCGAAAATGCTTTATTATACCCTGTACCCAAAGGGTACAAGGGTATATTAGTTTTGTGCGAGTGCACATGGAACACACATAAGGAGGCTTGGTAGACCCCACAAAGTATATATATTCTTGATCAGCATGACAAGCCGAGTCGATATAGCCATGTCCGTCTGTCTGTCTGTATGAACGCAAGGATCTCCGAAAGTATAAGAGCTAGAATAACCAAACTTGGTATACAGATTCTCCTGAGACCGAGAAAGGACGAGTTTGTTCATTTTTTCTGATCCACCCCCCCACTCCCCCCCTATTAACGATTTTCTATAACTCCCGTAATTCTTGGAATTTTGAACTAAAATTTGGTAGTCACATTAGGTTAGTAATTTTATATCCGTATACCATTATGATAGAATGATCGGAAAGAAAGTTATAGCCATATAACCAGGCCCAATGCACACATACATACATATCTACAAGTACACAAACACGCATAAGGCACGATTCTGATGTAAATGTATCTATGCATGCATGGAATATTTTATATTTAATTTAGTTAATTAATTAAATTAATTTAGTTAATTAATTAAATTAATTTAGTTAATTAATTAAATTAAATTAATTAATTAAATTAATTAAATTAATTTAATTACTTTTTTGTGGGGTGGTACAGGGTATTTAAGAGTTGAGCCTGCTCGACTTTAGCATTCCTTTCTTGTTATAGTATATTAGGTTTGCGTGAGCTGAAAAATGTAACAGGCAGAAGGAGGCGTGTAAGACCCCACAAAGTACATATATACAAGTATATTCTTGATCAGAATGACAAGACAAGTCGATAAATTAAATTAATTAATTAATTTAATTAAATTAATTTAATTACTTTTTTGTGGGGTGGTATTTAAGAGTTGAGCCTGCTCGACTTTAGCATTCCTTTCTTGTTATAGTATATTAGGTTTGCGTGAGCTGAAAAATGTAACAGGCAGAAGGAGGCGTGTAAGACCCCACAAAGTACATATATACAAGTATATTCTTGATCAGAATGACAAGACAAGTCGATATATGTTTGTCTATCCGTCCTTATGAACATCTGGATCTCATAGACTATAAAAGATAGAGACGCCAAATTTTTCACAAAGATGCCTTATGTGTGTAAGCTATACAAGTTTTTTTTATTTTTTTGATTTTCCCCCCACATCCCAGTATGGGGGTTTTCCCGATTTTCCATTTGTATAATTACCTGTATCTCGGAGCCTATAAGACCTGGGATACCAAATTTTAGTCCCAGATGCCTTGTGTTAATACGCAGAAAATGTTTAAAAATTTCCACCGTTATTAGTGATTTTCCATAGCTCCCGTATTTCTAAGAATGTCGGTCTCAAAATTGGCAAATACTTCAGTTAGTCATTATGTGTCTGTTTGCCAAGTTTTATCATGATAGGATTTTAAAGGAAGGTATACCCCGCAGCTGTCGCTGTTGCAGCTTACATGTTAACACAGACACGAATAGACATACATAGACATGCATACACTCATATAGTATATATATATAAAGCATAAAGTATATATATTCTTGATCAGCATGACGAGAGGAGTCGATCTAGCCATGTCTGTCTGTCCGTTCGTATGAACACCTGGATCTCAGAGACTATAATGGGGGTTTTCCGTGTGAGTGTATTTTAAATTTCACATATTTCACACAATTTCAAATTCAAACTTGGCAAATACCTCCAGTTAGTGATGCGTCTGTATGCCAAGTTTCATAATGATAGGCAGATTTAACAGAAAGTTATAGTCATATGTGTATATATGAACAAGCAGTGCCCGCAGCTGTTGTTGTTGTTACTGCTTTGCACAGGCACACGAGACATACACACAAATACACACATACATAATTATTCTACACATGTGTACAAAGTATTTCAATGTGGGGACACCCGACTTTAGCTTCTCTACTTGATTTATTTATTCTGATACCCCCCCCCCCCCCCCATTTCACGGCAATTCGTGTTTTTTTTTTTTTCATACCAGTAATTTTTGTAAGTACTTTTTTTATTTTCCACTTCGCGATTGATGACCATCTGTAACATATTAAATTAATTTCTATGAAAAATTAGAGTCCGGAGTCATCTGGTGAAGCTTTTTTAAAGGAAATATAGCTGCGGCGCTGATGAAAACACTTTATTCGCTTTCGTATCTAACAATTTGGTTATATATTTCACTTACAGACTGAATCCTTAAAAATAAACTGCGAACATGATCTGCCAGATTGGTTTATGGTTCGCGATGTTAAAGATCCCACCGTTATTCTTAACGACAGACTTATATCCGATGCTCTACTAAATGGTACTCTACCTATTAAGGCAGAGCATTCTTACAGCCTTAATAGCGATGGAGACTCTCTAGCAGAACCACAAAAAAGCCTGCAAGCCAAAATTGATGGTAAGTGGTTTGAGTTTTCTTGGTAATATTTTTATTATACTCTGTTGCTGTAACTACCAAAAATATGCGTATTAAGCCCAACATCTATTATTACATTTATGCAATAAATTACAATAACATAAGATGTAATTATAAAATTTGAGTTAATAATTTTAAGAATTTTGGGAGGTTTGGAAATTCACTAATAGCGGCGGGGTAGGGGATGACATTCTTGCACTCATACAGACGAATAGACGAATATGGCTATACTGACTCGCCTGGACGAGTATACATATGTGGGATTGGTCTGGCAACTATGCACAGCCAGTCCACCACATCCCTGAAAAGACGATTAATTATCGATACAATGGAAGTTAGAAGCGAAGTGAGCTGACGAGAGGAGTCGAAAAGAAGAGCTAAAGACGAAAAGACATGATGAAGCGGATCAAGACGATTTCAAGACGGTTTTAAGACGACGACTCATTTCAAAGTTTCATTTAAATTCAATACTTAACACTTTATGAAATACCTTTATATTAAACATTATAAACAAAAACTACAAGTCTTTTTCTTTCAACAAGTTAAATAGACCCAATCCCACATATTTGGGGGCTCAACATACAAAAGAACAGTTATGAGCAGAGGTTTTATGAGTAAAGCAGAACAGAAAAGTGTCGAAGGTCAACGAGTGACAAGTGCGTTTTGAAAATTGCTATACATACTGATGTGCATGTATAAATAATTGTAGTGCGTTAGAAAAGACGTTTCTAAGTGCGTACATACATACATAAAACGACGACGTGATACATAAATAAAGTTAGTACACAAGCATACAAACGACGGTGCTGCTTGTGCATAATACTTATGTATATGTGTGTATAAAGTGTGCAAAACGACGCAGAGTAACAATTCTAAGAAGTTAAGAAATACTAACGGCAACAATATGACGCGTCTAGTGGAATTTGACAAAATTAAGGACGCGTTAAAAAACGAAAAGAAACAAATAATTGAATTATTGCACAAATTCGTGTTTGAACGCAACGGCGATCGAGACAACCGCAAACGCTTACGTGCATTTGAGGGTTTCAATTATGGCATCGAAAATGAACAGTATGATCGGAAAGTCACATACATAGCTGAAAATTTAACGAATTACGATTTGGCAGTGATTTGCAATGTGTTATGTTTGCAGCATGATAAAGAGGATTGGCTAAACACATATTTTGTAACCTTGACTAGACTGTAACTTGTTGGTAGACGCAGATTTTAGCGAAGAGGACAGCGATAATGCTGAAAGTGAAGACGAAGATGATAATTACATAAGTATGAGCATTGAGAACAGGGAAGAGAATAGGGAAAACGAACGACGCGCGAGTAGTGTGAATAACGAAAGACAAAACAGTAACACGCCACATTGTAGTACAGTCAACGTACAACAACAACATACTAATGTAAACGTAAAACAGAATTGCGTTACAGTGCCTACGCAAAGTATGCAACCGCCGAGATTCGGGTTAAGTTTTAACGATATACAAGACTCGATACGTTCATTTAGTGGTGATGACTCATTACCAGTTGAGGTTTGGCTTAATGATTTTGAAGAAATGGCTATTATGGTGTATTGGGATGAACTTCAAAAATTTATTTTTGCCAAAAGGTCGCTAAAGGGACTAGCTAAAACATATGTTATGAGTGAGCGCGGTATTAAGAACTGGCATATGCTTAAAGAGTCACTTTTGAGTGAGTTTCAAACTCAAGTAAATAGTGCGCAACTACATAAATTAATGTCAGAGAGGAAAATAAAAAAGAGTGAGAGTTTGCAGGAATATTTACTTACTATGAAGGAACTTGCATCGCGCGGTAATATCGAGAACAACGCGCTTATGCAGTATGTAATAGACGGAATAAACGATTTAAACGTGAATAAATCTATTTTATATAATGCAAAAGATCTTAAGGAGTTTAAAGACAAGCTAAAATGTTACGAGAAGATACGCGGAAAAAATGAGAGTACCAAAAATAATGAAAACTATAAGGGAATTACAAGCAGAAAAGGAAATTCGACAAATAACGAGGTGAAAAATGTGAAATACGTCGGTAAATTGTGGAAACTAAATCAAAGGAAAGAAATGTTTTAAATGTAACAATTTCGGGCATATTGCAAAAGAATGTCCCGCGAACGACGATACTGCCAAGAATGTGAGTTTAGTGCACAAGGTGTCAACACAGCATACGCTAATGTGTTAATCAGTGGACATGAACGGTAAAAAATTTGAAGCACTTATAGATACCGGCAGTAAATATAACATTGTAAATGAAGCCACGTATGAAAGTCTAAATAAACCAAATTTATGTAAATATGAATATGTATCTGGTCGGGTTTGGAAATGAGAACAGAGTTAAGCCATACGGCTCGTTTTGTAACAATATTGATGGACACCAGTTTAAAACAATGTTTCTTGTGGTATCATCAAAAATTTTATATGTTGACATTGTTTTGGGCGAAGAATTTTGCAAAGATGCGGAAATAAAAATTAATCGGCACGGTGTAACCATCCGAAAGGCTGCAACGAATACAGAGGACGATGAAGTAAGCTGTGTTATGAAAATAGATGCTGATTACAATCCAACAGATGTCGACATTGATTTTAATGCAAGTGGAAGCGCCAGAAAGAAGGTACAAGAATTGGTACAAAACAACAGTCCAACAAGCATGAAAACCACAAACGTAGAAATGCGAATTGTTTTGAAAGATGACACTCCAATTTATTCGCGGCCACGTAGGTGTGCCTATTCTGAGCGTTGCATCATTGACGAGCAAGTCGAGCAATGGCTAAAAGATAATATAATAGAGCATTCCGATTCCGAATTCAGTAGTCCCGTTGCTTTGGTAAAAAAGCGCGATGGTTCCCCGAGATTATGCATTGACTTCAGGCGTATAAATAAAGCTATAGTTCGAGATCATTTCCCTTTGCCGTTGATCGAGGATCAGCTGGACAGACTCCAAGATGCAAACATTTTCAGCACGATTGATCTCAAGAACGGGTTTTTCCATGTGAATGTAGAAGACGATAGCCGAAAATATACTTCATTCGTAACACACAATGGTCAGTATCAGTTTCGGAAGGTACCTTTTAGTTTGGCAAATTCCCCAGGAGTATTTCAACGACACGTTAATGCCGTATTCAGAGATTTGACACGTACTGGTATAGCCATACCGTATGTTGACGATATAATAATACCAGCGAAAACAGAAGAAGAGGCCATATTGAATCTGATTGAAGTCTTAAAGCGATGTGAAGAGTACGGTCTGAAGCTAAATCTGAAGAAATGCTGTTTCCTTAAAACTAAGATCGAGTTTTTGGGTCACGTGATTGAAAAGAATGAAATTTGCATATCCGATTCGAAGACGCAAGCTGCTACAAAGTTTCCAATGCTTACAAACCAGAAACAGTTGCAGAGCTTTCTGGGATTGGTTGGATACTTCCGTAAATTTATACCGAATTTTTCGTTGATAGCAAAGCCACTTACCGATTTAATGAAAAGATCTTTTAAAAGAGATTGCTTCATTAAATATGTTAAAGACATTAATTACAGAAAAAACAGTCCTGAAAATATTTCACCCCCAGCACGAGACCGAACTTCACACAGACGCTTCCATAGACGGATTTGGAGCTATGCTGATTCAGAAGTCACCGGATGATAATTGCGCTCATTCAGTATACTACATGAGCAGAAAAACTACGGATGCCCAGAGAAAATTTACAAGCTACGAACTGGAAATTTTGGCTGTTGTGGAGGCATTACGAAAGTTTCGAGTCTACCTATAGGGCACTCATTTTAAACTTGTGAGTGACTGCAATGCCTTTACCAAGACTTTGGAGAAGCGAAACTTATGTACTAGAGTTGCACGCTGGATTCTCCTTATGGAAGAGTTCCACTTTACTGTAGAACACAGAGCTGGTTCCCGCATTCGGCACGTAGATGCTTTAAGCCGTTTCCCAATGATGATAATTTCTGACAACCATATCCACAGCAAATTGAGATGCGTCCAGGCACAAGACGAGGAGTTGAAAGCAATTATAGATGTTCTTGCTGAAAAGGCTACACACAACAATTATTTTATGAAAGCAGGTCTATTGCACAAGATGGTCGACGACAATGAACTAATCGTGGTACCAGCAGCTTTACAACGCGAAATCATAAAACAGGCGCACGAAAGAGGACACTTCCTAACAAAGAAAACTAAAGACGTCATTGCTAAAGAGTTCGACATTCCAAAGCTGGAGGACAAAGTTCAACGACAAATAAGATGCTGCATCCCATGTATTGTGACCAACAGAAAACTTGGAAAAAAAGAAGGTGACCTTCATCCACTGCCTAAAGAAGAGGAGCCATTACAGACGTTTCATATTGACTTTTTGGGTCCTTTGGAATCCACCCATAAGCAATACAAACACATCCTAGCGGTCATTGATGGTTTTACCAAATTTTGTTGGCTCTACCCCACAAAGACGACATCGGCTAAAGAGGTGATATCAAGGCTTCAAGCGCAAAGCTCTGTATTTGGAAATCCTATCCAAATAATATCGGAGCACGCAGATGACACATTCGAGTTGCTAGTTGGTGTGAAGATGCGCACACAAGACAGCCTGCAGCTCAGGGAGCTGATCCACGAAGAGATGGTCCACACGTTTAACAACAACCGAGATGAACTTCGAAAAAGTGCCAAACGCCAAATAATCCGTATTCAAGAAGAAAACAAGAAGACATACAACTTGCGACGTAAGCCGGCGACTTTGTACAAGGAAGGTGATCTTGTGGCAATCAAGCGCACACAACTTGGTGGTGGGCTTAAGTTGAAACCAAAGTACTTGGGCCCATACCGCATCATCAAAGTCAAATCTAACGATACCTACGATGTGGTCAAGGAGTCGCAAGCCGGCGATGGTCCTCAGCGCACATCCACATGCGCAGAGTTCATGAAGTCCTGGTTTAGCATTGACGACGACGACGCAGCA